ATACTTACAAAAAATCTTAACTAAAATGATTAGGTTAGTCCAAATAATATATACATGAGTAATTTTTTTTATTTCTTACTTTTCCTGAGAGTTTAATTCCACGACAAAGACATGCAAAGACTAAAACCCAAGCTGCTAGTAAACTTAATACAAGTGGCCATTCCATAGTTGATATATAACCAATACCTTGTGATTTATTTAATATAAAATTACTAAACATAAAAAAAATATTGTTTTTTAAAAATATTTCATTATATTTATATTTACTTGAAATAATCATCGGATGGTAAAACAGGTTTTCGATATTGTATTCGACTTTCAATATTCCACCAACCAATTTGTGTTAAACCTTGATTTGTCCATGTATAACAACGACCATTTGGATCTTTATAAGTATTTTCATAATTACAACGCATTACAAACGTTGAAAAATCATCTGTACAATCTATTTCATAAATTTAATCTTTGCTTTTTAAAGAATTAATTACATTTGATGACTTACTTGGACCTGCCCAAGCACCACATGTTGCCCATTCAAGTTTCGAACGGAATGAAAGTACAAAATAAAGAATTGAATAACCAACTAACATAGCATAATAAACTATCATGAAAAATGATATTAAACTCATTGAAATACCAAGACCTATAAAGATAATTTTAGGTAGTTTTTTCTTCTTACATTAAATATGAAGAAAAAGAATAATTACCTTTGAAAATAGGAGCCATTCTCCAACATTGTACTACACCTTGAGATGTAAATTGTCCAAGACTAGTTTCAAGATAAAATAATGGAATACCAAGAAGAAATAAAAAGATAAAATATGGTATAAGAAAAACACCTGAAAAGAAAAAACATTAAAATGTATTGAAAAAGTTTGATTTATTTATTACCTCCGCCATTTCGATAACATAGATAAGGAAAACGCCAAATAGCACCAAGACCTACAGCATAACCAAGGCTTGAAAAGAAAAAATCAAAACGACCAGTCCATTGACCACGATCAGCTTTTGTGTTTACAACTTTATCATCAGAAGTTTGATTAGAATGAGATTTTCTTGGTGGTGGAATAGGTCGATTCTATATAGTTATATCAAAAAAAAATGATCTAGTCTATATTCTTATAGAAATTATTTACTGCTACATCTCCGTGATTAGGACCATTATCAGCACCGAATTTATATTCAGATACATCTCGACTTAAATCATAACCATGATAACTTAAATTTGGATCATATTGTGGATATTCATTAACATATATTTGTTGATTATTTCCACCTTCAATATTATATGAAGTAGTTGTTGTTGAAGATACTTCATCATTTGCTGGTAATTGAGCAGTACCTCGTGGATCTTGAGATATACGGTTTGAGTTAAGTATCTATTTAATTTAAAGCAAAATTAAATTCGATCTTATCTTTTATACGGTATATTATTATGTGACAAGGAAATTTTCTCTCGCTATTACTGTTTAGTTTGTTACGGAGGGTATTTTTATAATTATATACTCAGAAATTGTGAAAATAGGGAGTATACAATCTGTTGCTTCTAACCAATGATTGCAAATTATAAACACTATCACAAGTTTTTTTGGAATTTTTAATACCTATGTGATATATTTTCTTATGCTCCTTCAATTTCAAGATACTTGTGTAATCGTCATATATACTTTGATCAATTCTATATAAATATGAATTCTTTCTTTTTTATTCGTATATAATCAAATACATTTTATCTTTGTAATTCAATACTCTATTCACTTCTGATCTTAAATGAGTTTTATCACTGTTTAGTAACATAAAAAGGAACAATGAGCAAATTGAGATTAATAAAAACGATCACTGTCAATTGATGGAATTATATCGAAAAAAAAGTTCATAAGTCAATGAATATCATATTCTCGCTTTTAATGACTGAAACCTGACCAATCTAATGAGTTCTATTCTCATTCTAATCATACAAAACTTGTATGTCTTTATAGCGGACATTGTCCAGTTCGCTAATCTTATTCAAATAAAATTTATTAAACGGGATGTGATGATTGTACACAGAGAAGAAATTGATGAGAAAACTATAATTTTAACGTTAAATTTATGAATTAAAAAAAAAGATTCATCATTTTAACATAAGGGAAGAAATTTGATAATTCATGTTTGTTTATCTATTGTCTTTTAGGTTTACCAAATGAGATAAATGCAAATATAATATTCTTGATCTATCAAACCATATCGATTACCTATTGTGCATAGTTTTCATTTCAAGCGGATATTACTCTCTCTTCAATCAATAAATATTTGCACTGATTATTTGGTTTTTTTTCTCTCTCTGTATAATACATATAATTTTCAAGGTTAAAACTATTGAATTAATACAATAAAAATTTCATATTCTTACCTGATGTGATGCTTCGCCAGATAATGCTTGTCTCAATGGATCAAGAACAAGCATATTATTTCGTCTCTATTTTTTTGTAAACTAAAACTAACTGTCCCTTACTTGTCTATATACATATATGTATAAAGAAATCAATTTTGCGATGTTCTGTACAGTCGACAATATTTCTCTTTCGTTGTGTCCTACTGGTTATTTTACGTTTTTTTCCCTTCTCCTTCTCTTAGGATGGTCACATATACACGCATGTCATTTCTAACCTACGTCTGAGGTCATATTACTCACTGTAGTATAAGAAGAAAAAAACGTGAACTAAAGGAACGATTGAACTATACGTGTTGAGTTACTATTTTTTTAATTGTGTTTACCTGTTGATACATTTTCAATTGGTTTTTGACATAATTTATAATAAAATCAATGACAAAACAACATCAGACAAAAAAATGATACTATCAAAAAACACTATCAGACCAGACGAACGAGAAGGATTTTTTTTTCTTGCTTCGATGTTTTTTTTCTTTTTCTTTATTAACTTTGCTACGCACTTATAATGTGCATGTATGCACGAATTTGGAGGACATATGTAATACTTGGGGAGCGAGAGAGAGAGAGAGAGAAAGAAAGAAAGAAAAGATGACTATTACTTCCAATATGTGACTAGAAGGATTTTTGACATTTATAGCTCTAAAGAACAAGTAGAAGAAAATAGAATGAAGCACAGGCGTGATTATGTTGAATGTGATAAGATGTTATTTTATCTTGAAAAGAAAGATTCTTTGTTCTACAATAAAATTGAACAGTAAAATATTGAAGTAATACCTCCGGTGTTGTTAGTTTATTAATCAAACTTCCTTTGTTCAACACAAAGAGTGTCTTTCAATAGAATCTTTATTTAGTCTAGAATACTTCAAATAAGTTTGATCAAAAAATATAACGAAGGTAATTGTACAATGAAAAATAAGAGCTAAAAATAACTCATTTATTTAATTGAAAAAAAAGCTCAATCAACCGATATGATTAGCATAATAAAATTGAAATTTGTTAAACTAAAAAAGTTCTTACATCATGCACATTTTAACTTGAAATTTTAAAATATGAATAGATTTATTTCAAGAAGTCTTCTTTTGTTATAAATTAAAATGATACTAGAATAATTCGATTCGATATGTATAATAGACAAAGTAATACATACCTTCATGTTTTTTTGCAAAACTTAAGTTATCAATAGAAAAGAAATCTTAGGTTTTACTACTTCTTATATAAAATATGACAAAAAAAAAGAATAATTTTCACTGCTGGCAATCGACAAGGCTGGTTAGAATACAACATAATAGTATTTTTTTTTTGTCCACCATGTGACTCACGAGTGTTATTGGTGTGTTCTGTGAAATTACAGTGTATTGACATAATATTACGTAATTTCTTTTTTTCATTATATATATAAATATAGATGAATATATAGAATACATTACAGATAAAAAAAAGATATCTCTAATTGATAAAATGAATCCGTCGACTACAATTAAATTTCTTAATAATCGTTTTACACTTACTGGTTTTTCAAGAGCCGGTGAGGCTACTGGTTTATTTATTCCCGAAATGGACATACTGTTAGATGCTGGTATTGTAGTAACTACGGCAAAACCTCGACGTCTCTTTATAACACATTCACATAGTGATCATGCTTATCAAATTCCATATATGTATTCTGCGTCATCCCCAACACCTCTTTCTATTTATGTACCAAACGAATCTGTACCTTATTTTAATGCTTATCTCACAAGTGCTCAATTACTTAATGATCATGGTGATGAAAAAGCTATTGCTACTTGTGCTCAACGTTATATATTACATGGTGTTACAGAGAAACAGATTATTGATTTGGATAATTCTTATCGTGTTGAAATTATCAATTGCTGTCATACAATTCCTTGTGTTGGTTATGCATTTTATGAAAAACGTAGTAAACTTAAATCTGATTATGCTCAATTATCTGGAAAAGAAATTCAAGTTTTAAAAAAACAAGGTATCGATATAACAGAACAAGTTTTTATACCTCTATTTGCTTTTCTTGGTGATACAACACCAGATGTGTTCTCTATGGATTCAAATTCAGGTAGAGTATTACTTGATCAAATGCCTGTTATTATTTGTGAATGTTCATTTTTATATGGTGAACAATCAAATGAAAGAGGTCATACACATTGGAATGGTCTTAAACCTATTATTGAAAGTCATCCTCATATTACATTCATTCTCATACATTTCAGTTTAAAACATAAACGAAATGAGATTGAAGCATTTTTTGCTGAACAATCATTGAAAAATGTAATACCATTCATTTAATATATATGATTTAAATAACTATTTATAAGAAATTTCTTCAAGTTTTAGGTTCATTTTTTAACTTTGTTTGTTTATAAACAAAAAGATGAATAGAATAGATAGACAAACATTTTTTCCGAGATTGCGTTAGAGAAAAAAAACAGATATTACAAAAAAAAAGACAATTTAAGATGACAAAAAAAATAGTGCAAGTAAACGAGAGAAAGACGAACGGGTAAAGTCGTTCAGCTCGATATATCTATATATATATATAAATATAGATACTCTAATCTTTCCACCGTTCATCTGAATCGTTAGTTTTATTATTTGTACCAAGTCGTTGTGGTGGTGATACAGCACTACCATTTCCACCACTTAAACCCATTCGTTTATTTGTTGATTGTTCAATAACAACAGCTGCTCCACCTCCATCATCTTCATCTTCAAAATCTTCATCATAATTTCTATAATAAAACAAAAATATTATCAATTTTATTCATCTTTTCTCTTAACATACACATCATCAAGATTATCATTAGCTCCATCTTCATGTGTTAAATTATCATATTCAGCTTCAGCAAATTTCACCCAATCTGATACATCAGGTGATTCAGGATCCTAAATAAATATATACATATCTTTCATAATTACATCTATTATAAACAAAGATCTTACTTTAATATTTGAAAAAGGATCTTTTTGTTCATTATCTAAATATTTTTCAAGATTAAAAAATGTATCAAAAAAAACATTTGTTAATTTGCATCGTTTCAAATCTTTTAAACGTATCTTATGATCTTCTTCAGGTTTTACTAAATCAAGCATCTAAATTTAAGATAGAATTGAAGACAAAATAAAATACAATTATAAATTTCTATATATATACTTGACATATACAATCTTCAAATGGCATATATTCAATACCATATATTTCCATTTTATGTACTTGTTCTTGATAAAAATAATCTAATTCAAACATTGATAATACTCCATCACCATCTAAATCCATACAACGAAACCAATATTCAATACTAAAAAAAAAGAAAAAAGATATTTTATATGATTGATTTCTTTCTTTTTACCTTGTTGGCGAACGTTTATCTTCTTCGGATATAAGAAACCAAACAAATTCATAATAAGACATTTTTCCTTCTTTCATATTTTGACTACTGCAAAATAAAAATAAAAAAAATCGATGTTTTTTTTTCTATTAATTCAATTACTTTGATACAGCACCAGAAAATATTCGATCAATCATTTTATTTGAAATAGCTAAATATATATTAATATGAATTAATTATAAATATAAAAAGATTAATATTTACCGCCATTATTATGTTTTGCTAAATCATCACGACTAATTAATAAATCATGATCCGAATCTAATTCCCAAAATTTACAATAAATTACATAAAAATGTTCATATGAAAAATAATCATGTATTCGATTAATATCTTCTTCTTCTTCAATTCGATCGAGTGTCTACATAAAATAAATTATAAATAAGACAAGGTGTTAGGTTAGATATATCATCGCACATATGACAGATATATCTTATCATTGTTATTATAAATCATAACAGATACAAGTCGTTATTATGACAGGTACAGATCTAGCTTTTCTTTCTCATTTTACTCTATGATCCTTTAAGTACTAAATATTACCGAAAGAAAATTTGATCGCCTTAATTCTTGTATAGTTAATTTTCCTGACCATGATCGATTACAATTATAATAAATTCTAGCAATAACTGTTTTAATATATCTTGAATGAAATTCTCGTGCTTCACGAAGAAATTTTAAACCAGGATGTGTATCAATAATATCTTGTATTAAATAATCCCAATCATCAGTTGTTAAATATTGACGATTTGTTGGTAATGATAATGGTGATGATAGAGCAAGTATATAAACAAATTTTGATGCATTATCATGATTATTTTTGCATACTCTTAAAAGAAACAAAATAAGAAATTAGATCATTGAATAAAAAATAAGAAATACTTTTTCCAAAACATTTCAAATTGTGAATACGCTACAGTTGTATTTGGCGTTATTGTTGTTTTTGATCCTAATGCATCAAAAACACATGCACGAAATAATGGTGCTTTCCAATATAAACTTAAATCAATTAACTATAAAGAAAAATATAAGATTATTGAGTTTTTATTTATGGTTTTGTTTTGTATTTAATACCTGTGCTAATTTTCCAAAATCTTCTAAATAGACTTTATCATGTTTTAGTTGAAATAATTCTTCTTTAGCCTGGCGTAATTGTTTATTAAGTAATGTATCAACTGTTGATGTTGGCGTTGTTGTTGTTTGTCCATTAGGAAAATAAAATTTAGGAATATCTTCAGCTGGTTTTGGTATTTCATTAGATTTAATAACTGTTATCGGTACTGGTGATGTTTCTTTAATAGAAGGTGTTGGTTTTGTTGGTGTAAATGCTGGTCGTATAGTATTGTCAGTAGGTACTGATGAGATTGGTGATTTTGGTCTTGTTGGTGTTTTTGTTGTTGAAATTGATGGTGAATATTCAATACTATCGAATTGTTCACGTAAAGAAGCAACTCCACCACTTGTTGGTTTAGGTGATGATGGTGCTGGAGATAGATCTCGAATATTTTTTGATGGAGATTGTGAACGTGGTTGTAATACAGGAGTTTGTTGAGATGTTTTCGATATAGTACCATTGGATGGTGTAGTTGAAGTTCGACTAGGAAGAACATTTGTTGATGTTGCTGGTGAAATTGGTAAAGGTTCTGGTTTTGTCAATTGTGGAGGTGAAACTTTTCCTCCAGATACCTAAGAAATATTCAAAAAAAGATTTAATTGAATGAAAAAGTTTTAGGTTTTTTTTGTTTTTCATCAAAGAATTTGAAACATCTCGTCTAATTTTATGATAGATTTTCTTTTACGAATTATTTACAAGATAGAACAAACTATTAGTCATGCAACTACCTCAGGAATGAAGAAAGCCGATCGATGTTGCTGATCGGGAATAGTAGATGCTCCTACTATTGATTGTGGTTTAAGTGGCCATATAGCCTCAGGATTGGTAAATTTTTGTCGAATTTGTTGTTGAATATGTTGCTGTATTTGTTCAGCTGGATAACGTTTTTCAAAAACGAAATTGATATGTGATTTGGGAATTTTTGGTGATATCGATATACGTGCCAATGGTGTCGAAACAGGTCGACAGAAGCCTGTATGGATTCAAAAATATGTTTTTTTTATCGTTCTTTTTTTTATCTGACTCATAGAGACAGATAGTAAAAAATAAATCTTTTTAAATGTATATATATATATACATGTTTTTTTCTTTCTACCTTTATGTATAGCATCACAATAACGACCATAATATCGACACTGTTCACAGAAGTGTATTGCTCGTCGGCGTTTCTGATCAATTCGTATATTGAAATAAACTTGTGTGGTGGAACGTACCACCTGACAAGGTACACTGGTCACTGTCATATTTCTAGCATCTAGAGTGTAAGAGGAAGAATCGTCTTTATGACTTTCATTTGCTTCTCCCTCTCTCCCTCTCCTTCTCGTATATACATATGCATATATAACAAATTGTTTCTTTTACTCGATTCATTTTGGCTCATTCCACCCCTTTCCTATTCTCTTTTTCTTTCGCACACATTCTCTTCTTTATGCTTTACACTTGTGATAAGCTATATATGTACGTCGACGAACCGCAAAATCGACAAGAGTGCCGACTCACCTCTCTTGCTTACTACTTCATTTATGATTCGAGAGAGTTGAAAAGAGCGAATGGGGCGAAGATGAAAGTGAAAAGAAAAAATAAACAAAAAAAACGAAGAAAAAAAAAATCCAAGCGTTTTATTCATGATAAAAAGAATGGTACTATGAAAATAGAAGAAAGAGGAAAAAAAACGAATAACTATATGAAGCATCTAGTCCTCTTTTCAAAATATGCCAACAACCTTAGTCAATATACCGATATCAAATACCAATGTATGACTAATCATTGTGTAGGTGGCAAACAAAATATATACATGTGTATGTCTAGATGATGACGTCAAATACAATTTTTAAGTATCTACTATTATTTGCTACATATACATTTATAATCTCAATGAAAAACGAAGATAAATATATAAAATTTCAATAGTAAAATAAAAATAATCATATACTTAGTTTTTATTTATGAGAAATACTTATAAAATCTGTTCTCTTTTTTTTCCTTCTTTTCTTGTTCCATGTTTGTCTCTATTAATATAGATCTTTTTCCATACAAACACTCTTCTATTCTCAGTGCATATATACAACGATATGCTAAATCAACAAACAACGAATATGACGACTTTTCTTTTCTCTTTTTCTTCGTCTTCTTTCCATCTCTTCTATCATTCTGTCACCGAGTATTTCTCTTTTGCAGATATATCTAACAAACCATACGATCATGTTGACGAGAGATTTTTTTCTGCTTTCATGTCCAAGGTACATATGATGTAATTGATGGTTATAAAGGATAGAAGAAGAAGAAGAAGAAGAAAAAAAATAAGATAGATTGATGATATATTTTATTCTACTTCTTTTTTCTTCTACTACAGATACCAATAATTCTCTTGTTACGAATAAGACAAAGCAAAAAGGAAAAAGAACAACTTACTTGTTGTTGATCGATGCTGCCGGTTATTGTAGTATTAGGAGTAGTACTACCATTTACTATTGGATATTTTTTCTTCAGAGAACGCTGTTTCCGTTCATCATTAGTACTAATTTTACCAGGAGTATTTTCACCATTTGATGGAATTGAAGATAAACCATTACGTGGACTTGAAGCTGTTCGTGGAACAGGTGAAACAGGTGGTGAATCAAAATGTTGTGGTTTTGAAAACCCACCACCACGTGTTGTATAAGTCTATATACAAAAAAAGTTCATATCGCTCAATATTATGAGAATTATCTTTTTTTTCAGTTTCTATTCGGCATACACACACCTTCGGATAAATGATAGGATCAGGCATTTTACTATGTGTTCGAACATTTTGTAATGCAGTATATAGTGTTGTACGTGTATCTGATAATGAAAGCCATTGCAAAAATAAATCATTAACCATCTTTGTGACGGGTATTGATGTCAGTGTTGTCGATGTTGAATTGTTCATTTTTCGTAAATTCTATATTAAACTATTACAAAATTAAATGAACGGCATTTATATCTGAAAGATGAAATTAACTAAGCATCATTCTCTTCTTCTTCGTAGTTTTTCTTTTGTATAAAACATGCAAATTTAAAAACAAAAATATAGATATATATATAGATTTGAACTAATACACAAAAATTAACAACTAAAGATCAGTCATATTGCTTTTTTTTATGCAAGACTATGTATGTATACTTATATTTTATTAAAATATTCACCAGAAAAAAAAGAAAAAACAAAGAATTAAAATTCGTCGCCATAGAATGAACTTCGACGAAATATCCATTTATCGCAATTATTATCGGTTTTTTCAATAACGGTCATCTAAATATAATAAAAAATAATATGGAAATTATTTTTCATTGACAATTATTTACTGTAAGAAAATCAACATTTCGAATAACATGGGGTAATGTTTCCGGACGGAATTTCCCACCACACAATTTACGTGTACATGTTTCTAAACTTGGAGCATGTGCTAAATAAAAATAGTGAACCTGAATTCTTCTTTTAAAAAGAATATATAGATATATTTGTACCGATAAATAAAATATGTATTTGTTGTTGTGGTGACATTTGTCCTTGTTGTATTTGTGAAATATATTCACTTTCATGCATTTTAAGTATACTTGATGTAACAGCATGACTTCGTTGATAGAATTCTAGCTCAGTTTCATATTGAGATACTTCAGCTAAACTCATATGTTCGTGATATTGTTTATCAATAACATATTTATTTTCTAACAGTTCTTTTTTAGTCATAAATCTTGGCATTGTTAAAACATTGCTTGCTTCATTTACTGTATACCAGCCAGTACATTCGAATAGACCTGGTTCAATTCTTAAAAGAAAAAAAACAAGATATTTTGTTGTTTTTTTCTTTTGGAACAAAATTTTATTTATAATATTTACCGAATTTTCATTTTATTATTTAATTGTAAACCATCAAGGATTTTGGCCGCCGTTTGAACACAACGTAAAGATGGAGATGAATAACAATAGCTTATATGAATATTTTTACCTTTTAATACAGTTCCTAATAGAAAAATAAGTATTACTAAAATATACAAATCGAAGATATAAAATATATTTACCTGTATGAAAAGCGTCTTTGAGACCTTTGTATGTAAGTGGTGGATCGAGATCAAAATCTCGAATAGATGCACGGAATGGCAATGTTTCCCTAGAATAGAATTTTGTAGATATATCGATTAATTTCAATAAATAGATCGGAAAAATATATTTTTGTTTTTTGACTACTAAGAAGAAATGTTATATTTGCATTCACTTGTTATTATATCACACATATTTAAAATATTGTACTACTCAGAATTATTCTCATTGCATAGTCATAAAATGCATGATTTATAATAAATAGAATTTTTTTGTTGAAAACTTACGGTAAAATAGGTGAGAAACGACAAAAATTTCCATCTTTATCAAACGCTTGTCGTAACCATTGTGAGGAATAATATCGATCTAATCGCTCACCATGACGAATTACTAATAAACGAATAGGACCTTGTGTAACTGGTAATGGACTCATAGGTGGATATGCAGTGCCACGAACAAGATCAATATTTAATTCTGGAGTTTTCGATGATGATCCTGTATTCACCGGATTCTTTGGTATGGTGGATGATGATTTAAAAATTCTACGTATGAATTTGCTTACACCCTTTTTCTCTTTTGTTTTATTATCAATTGCTGATGCACCCATTGATTGTTTTTTACTAACACCCATTGATGGTGATGATAATGGCGGAAGATTCATACTTGATGCGCGACTATTTGCTATCGAGCTCAACTGGAAATCACTTGTTGTTTTATTAATCGTAAAATTAGTAATGGATGAAGAATCTGAATCACGACGGTGTTCGTTATCGTTTCCAGAATGTCGAGAAGTACTTGTTGGAAGTCGATCTTCATTTTCTAATTCATCATCTGTTGTTATATGTGTTCCTGATAAAGATGTAGCCACTTTGTCTCGTGATAATCTTAATGATGATACACCTGAATCCGTATCGTGATCCTAAAAATATTCAATGATTATTTACTATGATATAAATTAAAGTCCTTTAAATATCATTTCTAGATGTATACCGGTGTTAAGCTAGCTTTTTCTGTCGTAGGTTTTGAAATCATATATTTAGCCACTGACGTTTTTTTTATAATGAATCAGAAAAGAAAAACATTTGAAGTAAAAAAATACTCTTTTTCAATATCACTAGATCCCATATCAGTAATAAAGCAATACATATAACTTACAGGTGTAACAAAAAAGATACAATCATATTTACACCTTTTATTTTTCTTCTCGAAACTTAAAACTTAATGATAAAAATTGTTTTAATATTTCAATTTAAATTACAAAAAAAAACAACTAACCTTTAATTCATCTAAAAGATCAAGATATTGGTCTTGAGAATCGACATCTTCGTGAAATGGTTGACTTTTATTGATGTTAAGAGAGTTTTTCTTCTCTTGTCCTCGAGCACTAATAACACCAGTTTCTTCTGTCGTCAAATCATCTTGAATCATACCTTGTTGCCAAATAAAATTTTATTCCTTGAAATAATAAATAAATATAATAATCACTAGTGTAGAAAAGAAAAGGGTAAATTTATACTATTGACATTTCTCTATTAAAGAATTAGAAAAGAAAAATATATTTCTATCATTTCGATCAAATGATGACATCAGAAACATTAATGATAATGATGAATAGGAGAGAGAAAAAACGCATTAAACTATGAATACGAACAGAGCCTTTTCTTTCTACCCTGCAGTGTACGACATCGATAGTACATAAGCAAAAGAGCACGCGAATGTGTGAGCATATAAACTCAGTCATGTGAAGAGAAAAAAAAAAACATGCGAAATATTCATGTATGTGAGAAAAAAAATAAATCAAGGACTGTCTGTCATAAAAAAAAATCTTTTTTTCTTTCTTTATTTACTTTCTTATGTAGATTAGACAAGAATAGGTAAATGATTGAGTTCATTTATATGATTTTTATGCTATACTAATTAGATTTTCTAGATGATATATCAATTTGACCGAATAATAGAGAGAATAAATCAAATTATTTCTAATAAATAACAAAGAATCAAATAGATACTTCTAGTCATGTCATCTATATTCTAGATTAAATAAGATATACGTATATGTCAATAATATTTCTATGAAAAAAAAAAATTTGATAGATATTTAGAGAGACGTACTTAAATAATGGATTGATAGATAGCCAATATTGATCATGTGAAAATGAAGACATTTGAAATGACAAAAATCAGATTTATTCAGTGTCTTTTATAAATTAACAAACAGTAATCAAATATGAATCATTGAAATATTCATTTGAAAGAAACAGAAAATACGTTTATATTAAAGGTATGATACAGGTGGATTAAGATTACGATATTGTACAAAGAAAGAATTTTTCTCATTTGCTATTGGTTACGAAAAAATGACGAAATCAACTTGACAATATTGATGTCGCTTGTAAACAATCAGTGTATGGATTTGTTAGATATTTACAATAAAGCTGTTCTAATGAAATAAAACTACATTTTTAATTCAGTTCATATTCTATTATCAATAAACTTAATCTTCAATACTTTTTACAATATTCTCTTGAAATTTGAGTGGTACCTAAGAAAAAAAACGTCCTCGTCAGTAATACCCTAGAAGAACTGTTAACAATTCGATAACAGTATTTTTAATGTAATTTATTTTCCAATATTATAAAGTAAATAGATGACAAAAAACAGCTCGTAGCTGAATTGTATGTTTTCTTTAGTTATATTTTATAACAGCAGGACAATTTTATGTAAAAAATAATACATTTTTTTTATAACATACGCAATAAAATAATAATCATTATATATATTTTCATTGCTTTGATTCATATAAATAATCCAATATGCGTTCTATAGAATAATTACATGATTACTTTTGATGATATATCGAAGTTAAAATAGTACAACTGCATTTTTGAAAAAGATATTAAAGTAAGCATATATCTACTAGCTATGTAGAATATTCTCTAACTAAACAAATCACCATTGGAAACATATATTTGTCGAATAATCTATATGGAATTCTATAGATATTTTTCAAATATGGCACTATATTTCAGAATTCAAGGTCGATCGAACCATAATAGTATTAACGAATAAAAATCGAGAAAAACTAGAATAATGAAATATGAAGATTACTATAACTTATTATAGAGAACGGAACATAATTGACAAAGCACTATAGTCCAGAGTCATGTAGGTATTTTTATTAAGATTCTTTTTGCAGTCAAACATGCTTGATTTGATCAAACCTGATGTATTCAATTAACAGTATATCGTCCAACAAAACCTAGATCTAGCTGATAAGATACTTTATCAGAAAAAAGTGCAGTGAAATCTCTATTAATAAATGCTATCTGATAAAGCACTATCTTATACTGAATGGCGATATTTTCCATGAATTACCTAATTCGAATTCGAATATAAACGGACAACTCACTGCCGTACATTGATTCAAAAATAAACGAGAATAAACCGTATCTTGAGCTCCACAATAGTCAACGATTTAGCTGTATATAATTATAATTGATATAATTGAGTTGATACCATCAACCTCCAAGGCTCTATATTATACTATACAGATTATAATTGAGAGAAACGTTTTCTCTACTCTCTGAGATAAATGGAAGTCCATATATAAATTATAAATAATCCTTGGGGAGGAACTTTATTATTTTACGTTTTTTGTAAGGTATCTATTCAAAATCCTTCTGTATTGAGATACAATCAATAGTATCTATAATAATGAATCTAGAAAACATTTTAATCTGTGATAACAGTAGAATTTTATGACAAATAAATCTTGAGGGTGTGGGTGTGAGTCTCCTATTCTACTAAAGTAAAGATTTATAAGTTGACTTATTTTCGACGTATGACCTGATATTACTAGGAAATCTATAAAAGAAAAGAAAAACTTTTGAGCAACTCGATTTCTAATGAATCAACGTTTTTGAGTGAAATTCACAGATTTTGTATCAGTTTCGATGATTTCAATGGAGAGCATTAAAGAATATACTTAATTTCTTCGAGAAATAACTACTTTTGTTAATAAATTAGTGGTTTTATCTTGCAGTTATATATCATATTGAAGGAATTACTTTTAGAGTAAAACTGATGTTTGCTTGTCTACCTGATTGGTATTAAGTATTGACATCATTTTTATAGATAAGTATAAAATACAGTAGAAATATTTATAGAACCTTGGTATTAATTTATTAAAAATTCCTACTATAAACTCCTTTTTTTCTTAATAAATAAAGTAAGAACTAAGATATTACGAATCAAGATGTCGCCAATTATCATTAGATGTTTCCATAGTTCTTAATAAAATAAAGACAAACTTTACAATTTCATTGGGTCAAATATTCTTTGGAATATAAGTGTGTACTCTTACTAAAGTCAAAGGTAAAGGTGATTATCAAACAGAGTGCATTCTCTTTGGACTTTCGTCAAGAGTATATGACATATTCATTTTAGATTTTAACAAGATGCCACTTCCCACACGGTCATTTACTCGTCTCATAAATTCAACAGTTCGACCAGTATATTTCGAATTTTATGTATTTGATTTATAACTATTGTATATGTTCTCATATAGAATCATCTCGTTGGTTTACAATCCAAATGTTATTCATCAACACAAGCAACTGTAAAGTTCTTTTACATAGAAATAATAGTTTTCGTTTTCCTGTTTTTTAGGATCTTAAAGAAGTATTACGTGATCTTATTCCAAAAGAACAAAAACGTGTAGCCGCATTTAAATCTCAACATAAAGATGTACCAATTGGTCAAGTAACTGTTGATATGGTAATAAAAACAAATTCATTTATCGATTATTTATTATGAAATACTTTGTCTTGTATAGATTTATGGTGGTATGCGTGGTATCAAAGGTCTTGTTTATGAAACATCAGTATTAGATGCAAATGAAGGTATTCGTTTTCGTGGTAAAACAATAACAGAATGTCAAGCTGAATTACCAAAAGCAAAAGGTGGTGATGAACCATTACCTGAAGGTCTTTTCTGGCTTTTAGCAACATCTCAAGTACCAACTCAACAACAAGTAATCATTGATATTGAAATAAAATATTTAAAAAAGTTTTATTATAAACTGTAAGGTTGACTGGGTTACAAAAGAATGGAATAATCGTGCTGATATTCCTCAACATGTTGTAACAATGTTAAATAATTTTCCAGCACAACTTCATCCAATGTCACAATTTAGTGCTGCTATTACTGTTCTTAATCTTGGCTCAAAATTTGCTAGAGCTTATTCGGATAATGTACCAAAATCAAAATATTGGGAAGTGAGTGTTATTTTGCTTTTCTAAAAAGATTTTTTAATCGAATTTTTCTAGTATGTTTACGAAGATTCAATGGATTTAATTGCTAAATTACCAACAATTGCTTCTATTATTTATCGAAATTTATATCGTGATGGATCAGCTATTGGTGCTATTGATTCAAAAAAAGATTGGTCATGGAATTTTGCCACTATGTTAGGTTATGATAATAAGCAATTTGTCGAATTACTTCGTCTTTATTTAACAATTCACAGGTAAAACATAAAATTAAATTCATAATTCTTTTATTTTCTTTCTAAAATTAGTGATCATGAAGGTGGTAATGTTAGTGCTCACACAAGTCATCTTGTTGGTAGTGCACTTTCTGATCCATATTTATCAGTTGCTGCAGCTATGAATGGTCTTGCTGGACCACTTCATGGTCTTGCAAATCAAGAAGTTCTAATTTGGATAACAAAATTAGTTGAAAAAATAGGTGAAACACCAAGTGATGAACAAATCAAACAATATGTTCATGAGACACTTAAAACAAGTGTTGTACCCGGTTTTGGACATGCTGTTTTACGTAAAACTGATCCACGTTATACATGTCAACGAGATTTTGCACTTAAACATTTGCCAAATGATAATATGTTTAAAATTGTTTCACAACTTTATAAAGTTGTACCACAGTTACTCGGTGAACTTGGTAAAGTTAAAAATCCCTGGCCAAATGTTGATGCACATTCCGGTGTTCTTCTTCAAGTAGATTTATTTTGATTTTTATATAATTTCTATGATTTAATTATCTTTTTTACTTTTAGCATTATGGTATGAAAGAAATGAATTTTTATACTGTTTTATTTGGTGTTTCACGTGCACTCGGTGTTCTTTCTCAAATGATATGGTCACGAGCATTAGGATTTCCATTAGAACGACCTAAATCAATGTCAACTGATGGTCTGATGGCTTTAGTAGCTGCTACCGGTGATAAACAAAAATCTAAAGCAGCTTAAATTCATTTAGGAAATATTTGTGTATGTATTATCAATCAACATCAATATATTAAATTTTTTTCATTCGTATTTAATATTCTATTTCCTCTTTAATGAGATCGATTATAATAACTTTTTATTATCGAGAATAGCTATTTTTTTTTCATTTCATCTGTGTTACTATTACTTTAGGAAAAATAAAAACAAATAAAATAGGATACAATTATATAATATTATTTTTCATTTAAACCTTATCTTGAAAATATCTATCACAATAATGAAGAGCTAAATCAAAATGTAACGAAAATAACTAATTGTTTTTGATTTGAACTAATAAATAACATATATAATTATGAAATTCATTTATTGAAAATAATGCATCCATCAAAAGTTTTTCAATCAAAAGCGAATTTATACTATCCATTCTTGAAGAAATATCCTGTAGATTATTAATCTATTGATGTATGATTTATACTTGATATTATATTGGAATCTACATTTTTATCTTTAGTGAGCTAAATTTACTTTAATATATATATATTTAATATTAAACAATAGTATTAAGTTTATATCATAGTTTCATCAAACAGCAAGCCAACATTAAGAGCTGATCGAACATTACGTAATGTTAAATTAGATTTTTTAATATCAGTAGATGATTTTTGTTTTTCATTGTTTAATGATGTTACAGATTTTAGAGATTGAGATGGATGGACGAGCATAGCATTGGATTTGACATCTTCTATATTAGGTAGTATTGACTCTTGAGAAGTATTCGATTCATACGATGTATGATCCGATGATACTAAAAAAAACTATTTAGAGGAATATGATATATGTATATTTACTTTGTGATGAACTAAATTTTTCTTTAGGAGAATATCGTTCCAGTTTCTTTGCTTCGTCAATGATTGATTCAGGTTGAATAAATAACTGTTCTTTATTTATACTGTTACGCTTTGTTTGTATATTTTCTAATACATTATTATTTAACAATGTTGATTTCAATTTAGATAATGATAAACTATCATTATTTGATGTCTCTGCTTTTCTCATAGGACGTATCGATGTATTGAATGATTGTGTATGTACCACTGTGTCTTCAGAATTCGTCTCTGAAATGATATCACTAATAAAACTTTTCTAAAAAATACTTTTTAAAATTTATTAAAATCAATAGTATATTTATGAAAGCATTACTTGATCATCTGTTGTTATAATAAAACTAGTACTGCTTGCTTGAATTCCTTTATTTGTCGGTACAATTTTTTTCGAAGGTACTGACGGAGTATTTAAATTATCAAAATTAAAATCATTTTTATTATATATATTAGGATTTTGTGTTGTACTAAATTGTCGATCATTACTCGTTACTATATGATTAAATGGTTCAAGATAAATTTGATCAACATTGACATTTCTATGCGCTGAATAAGATTCTACTGTAGTGGAAGAAATGTGAGATGAAGTTATTCGTCGTACTGTGACTCTGTATGAAGAAGGATCGAAATATTTTTGTTTTGTATATATTCCTTTTGAACAAGACGATTCACGAAATAAATAATGTGGTGACCGTTGATAGAAATCTAAAATTAAGAGAAATGCATAGATTTTCTATTTTTGTAATACTAAAATGAATATACTTCGTTGAAAACAATAGCCATCACATCTTATTATCGGTTGTGATATACGAACTGTAGGAGTACATTTAAACTTTCTATTCTTGTAAGGTTGAGTTGAATGACATTGATGTGATGAATTAAAAATAGAATGTTTCATTTGATTTATTGTTTCTATGTTTATAAAAGAATATTTTGCAATCGTTCTTTTTATAAATAAATGTGAATTACAATAATATATTTACTAGAAACATATTCATATTAATTAATACAATTTCGAAATGAATTACATTGAAAAAAATACAATTATTAATTTTTTCATTTGCGCTATTTTCTTGTAAATATTCTATTTAATAAGAATCTATATTTAATACGATACGGAACAAAACTTTTATGTAATACTACGCAAGTTTTCTTACTTTCTCGATGTGCACATCAGACTTGTTATTTTGCTTCGAGCTTACTAGTGTAAAAGCTCGTCTCTTACGTTGTCTAATATAAAATAGCTACTATTTCTGTGTGAATATATTTAGTTTAAATATTAAAAAAAAACTTCTATTGTCTAGTAAAATATAAATCGTATCGTGGATACATGCATTTTATTTAATCCCTAAATCAATAATCAGCTGCGTGTTTAATAAGTCCATCAGTCACCTAAATAACTGAAATAAATCGGTGTTTTTATCAATGTATGCGACTTGAATGAGACCTCGTAACTTGCACTTTGTTTCTTGACTTCGTAGGTTATTAGTTATATTCTGTAAAAGTCCATTATTTTCAGGAATAACTACTGTTCTGACGAAAAATCAAAGCAGAAAGTTTTGAAATTTTATATTACTAAAATAATCATAATAAAAAGTTTAATTATACTTTATATCACGATTCTGTCGTTGAAAGTGACATAATTATTTTTCCTTTTTTTCTTTCAACAAGCAATTGCGATATCATATAAAATATATGATGCATGACGAATATGTATTAATTTTCTTGAATATTTTATCTAGACACTCCTCACACTAAATCTGTGCAACAATATAATAGAAAATGATGTGGAGATGGAAATATGGGAATTACTTAAACGCAATAAAAGCGAAAGAAAAGCGTGATTGTTATTATTAAATGCATTTAGATGACGAAGAAATTGCTGCTGATGATTAGAAGAGTATTTTCTTGTGTTATAATTTTGACAGAAACAGTTAATAAAAGTGTTTATTTTTAAAGTGAATCTGTATTGTACGTATAATGTTTACTTAGGATGTTTTGATATTTGATGATGGAGATGATGCAGCTCTGAAAAAAGATGGGTTTTGTAGAACTTTTTTGTTACAAAGGTCGGGCTTGCACGGTCGTAAACAACAGTTTACAGAAAAAAACGGAAATATACGAAGACCGTACAATATTACAACGGAATCAACAGACAAACTGTCTTTTAGCGTATAGAATGATATACGGTTGTCGTATACGATCGTATATCATCGTGCGCTGGCGTCTATGGCGGCTGTATGTTCAGCTTTATAGCGTATATGTGAAAATAACCGCGCAGTTTTATTAACAAAGAGTATATTTTTTTTATTTAGTGTTTATATTAGACAATTAGAATATATACCGCAAAAAGAGTTAGTATCTTTTTCCTTAATTTATTTCTATTTAATTCACATTATTCTAATACACATGTCAATGAGCAAAAAGTATATTTTCAACCGTTATCTTTTTTATTTCAGGCCATTATGAGATATGGGTGAATAAATCATGAGAGCTTTTCTCTTAATTTTGTTTTTTTCTTATTTAGATTATTCAGATATAAAAATATCAAGGAATAAGAAATTTATTTGTTATTTTTATTTATTAGTTCTTGTTTTAAGTCATTTTGTTACGTACATCAATGAATAGTAAATACTTTTTCCTTAATTTTTTGAATTCATATTATTGTGGCATAAATATTAATAAACAGTAAGTATATTGATTTTTCTATTTCTTATTTCTTTTTATTTTAGATCATTGTAATATACGCAACCACGAATAGTGAGTAAATTTTTTATTTAATTGATTTTATATTTTATATTATTGTGTGTAAACATGAACGAACAGTTAATATAGTTATTTTTTCAATATATTTTTATTCAACGTCAGGTCGTGGTCACACGATATCTGATCAAAACATGACCTTGTACAAAAAGATCCGGTTATTTGTAGCTATATTTAGTCCGTATACGAAACTCGTAAATGTAACCAATCACACTACATCTCTCTCTGGACAAGGTCACCAACTGTATATAGCAATTTTTCATTTCGTTGCTCGTTCTTCTTTCTATATCTTACCCTTCTTCTGATTTAGAAAAAGTATCGGTCAGTTGACTGAAAAATAAAATAGAAGCAAGGCGCACAAAATCTAAATAAACTGTTTCAGTAATGGTCGGCCTGAGCAGAAAAAGAAGTAGAGAAGGCATGACCGATATCTATTGTATCGAGTGACGAATGATGCATGACGAATATGTATTTATTGAGTAGGAAGACAAAGAAACACATTGTACAATTAACATATACAGCAACACAGCACGGGCATTTCATCAACACTCTACAATGGCAAATCAAACTATCTCCAGTTTCATTACCTTACCGGTAGAACTTGTCTACCGAGTTCTGGATCATCAATCAGATTTCACAATTATATACTCAATGAGCAATGTTTGTGATCGATTCAACAGAATCCTAGACAGTTATTATCGATATCAAGTAATTTTCTTTTTTATCATGATAAAAGAATTGCTTCCCAGCGCATTTTATATAAAAGAATTTTTCTGAGGAGGGAAATTTCTGGCATAATTCATTATCAAAATAAAACGTCGAGCACAGTTTGTAAGGAAGATTTTCTATTCGACGTTT